GTACCCTGTACATCCACTTAATCTGTTTAGACAGTTCCCCTTTTCTTCCACTACAGAATTTTTGTATTCTATGGTCAGAATTGCATTGTTGAAGGCATTACACTGAACTCCCCTATAGTATTTTAGACCATGGGTTCTTACCTGTCCTTCCTTTGAACTCTGAACTCTACTCTACCAAAATTACATAAAACCCCCATCTCCTTTCTAAACATTCCCTGTGCCTGTAAAACTGTGCCCAGTTTTTCATCTCTATTCATCATGAACCCTAAGGTAGAGTGGTCCCTTCCTCCCAAGGTTCACTTCTTTGGGAATGAGTTTCTATTTTTTTTGGTTAGAATCAGGTCCATCAAAGCAGTCCCAATTAATTATATTAATCACCTTTTAGTTAGGGATATTTCCTAAGGAGATATAGTAAGAATAGTTGGTATAAAATATCCCCCCAAAACTCTGTGGCATACTCTCCCACAAAATATATAGAGAGAGGCCAGGGTAAAGTGGGCTTAACTGTTAAGCACATGCGGCACCTAGAAGTCACTTTTCTTGATACCTCAAAATGTTTCCTTTAGGTCTACTATGACTTTCTGCTGGGCTCCTTATAGAGTCCTGAAGCTGCCTTTCCCCAGTGTGAGTAATTTTTCCCCACTTCCTGATGTAGTCATTGCCATCAACTGAGAAGAGAGACTAATCAGCATAAGACAGATTAAAAGGGAACCCAGGGGGGCTGGGGACAAAGTCACAGTAAATCTAGCCCAGATCTGTGGGAACAGATCCCTGCCAAAATGAATTGTCCAGTAATAAGATATACAGGCTTATTTTTTAAACAAGGAATGCTGATGGTCGATCAATCAATCAATCAATAAGTATTTATTATGCACCTACTATGTGCCAGACATTGTGTTAAGTGCTTGGGATACAGGTCTAAAGAGTAAAACAATCACTACTGAAAGGAGGTTTCATTCTAATGAATGACAACTACATGTATATACACACACACACACACACACACACACACATATATGTGTATATATGTACACATATATAAGTACATGTATATACATATGGCATAAATATAAAATAATTAAGTACAAATATTTACAAAATAGTTAAATGTAATATGCTCACGCCTCATCAGCACCCTCTGCCCCTCTGCCCTTTTAAGGAAGGGGTCCAAGCTAGCCATCTTTTTCTTTTCCAACGAGCTATACTCCTTTGACTTCTCCATCATGCCCCAAACCAGGTACCTTCTCTTCTCTTCTCTGTTCTCCTTCCTTTTGCATTGTCTTCCCTCAATAGATTGTAAGCTCCTTGAGGGCAGGGACTATCTTTTTTTAAAAATTGTGTTTCAGCGCTTGGCACAGTGAAGGGCACATAGTAGGCACTTAATAAATGTTTGTTGACTGATATCCACTGATGATAGTGAAAGGCACTAGATGATAATGAGTAAGAGCCTAGACTTGGATTCAGGAAGATCTGAGTTCAAATTCTGCCTAAGACTCTTACTAGCAGTCTGTTACTTAACTTCTCTCAGCCTTAGTTTACTCACTTATAAAATAGCACCCACATCACAGGTTGTTGTGAGGCTCAACTAAGATAATATACGCACACTGTTAAAGGGCTGTATAAATGCTAGCCATATCATGAAGGTAGTTAGGGAGTGAGCCTGTACAGTAGTAGCTGAACAGGGATCAGAAAAGGTCTCTTGCAAAAGTTGGTGCTTAAGCTTCTTGAAAAGCCTGTAGAGCCCACAACTCTTTAAACCTGGATCCTGTCTCTAACAGAATCCATGAGATATTTCCCATTAGACTTTGAAAAATATAGAGCATTGGCTAAAGAAAAATCACTGTTATGAAATTCCCCCTACATAATTTGCTCTAAAAGGGAAGATGCTTGTGGAAGCCACAAGAGGCTTCCCTGCAACAATTCTGTTCAATTCAGTAAATGGTTATTAAGCATCTTGAATGTACAAGGCAGCCTCTTAGGGAGATACAAAGATAGAGAAGACATAATAAGACAAGTACACAAATCACTACAAAAAAATGAGAGCAAGGAAGTCTGAGCACCACTTCAGGGAAGGTCAGAGAACAAGAGCATGTCCACTTGAAGGGAGCTGGGGCAGGGGGGAGACAGGGAAGGAATATTGGAGGGCAAGTGGGCATGAGTCAATAATTAACAAGCATTTATTAATTTACTACTATGTGCCAAGGTCTGTGCTAGGTACTAGGGACAGAAAGATCAAAAAACTCAGTCTTCAAGGGGCTTACACTCTATCAGGAGGAATAATGTATGCAAATATAAATAAATACAAAATATATACAATATAAACATGAAGTAACCCCCCTACCCAAGAATGAACAAAGGTGGAGGGGGTGAGAGGAAAAAGATCCATATGAGGTTAGTGGTTAATACTCCAGCCCATGATTCAGTAACTTCCTATTTTAACTAATTATTCTTGTTAACTAGGTACTTAGCTCTTTGTTTCTGTATGTAGAAAGATTACGGTGGAGAAAGGGGGTACCCTCTGAATTTGGCACCTTGGGACAAAGCCCCAGTCATTCTGCTCTACCGCAGTTACCAACACCTAGTTATAGCATATCTTTCACTTGGATTCTTCACATTGTACTGGAAAGAAACTCCTAACCTTTCTGTGAGGTCTTCCTCATTTTAACCCTGCCCTACCTTGCCAGCCTTGTCCCCTTCTCTTCCTTTTCAATGTACTCTTCCTCCAGATGAACTGGACCATCCCCTGTTCTCTGAATATAGCCCAGTCTTTCCCACCCCTCTGCCTGGACTCCTGCTGTTATTCTTTCCTAAATGTCAAATTCAAGATTATCCTTTAAGGTTTGTCTTTTTTGTTTAGTCATTTCAGTCATGTCCAACTCTTCATCACTCCGTTCGGGGTTTTCTTAGCAAGGGTACTGGAGTAGTTTGCTATTTCCTTCTCCAGCTCATTTAATAGATGAGAAAACTGAGGCAAACTGGGTTAAGTGACTTGCCCAGGGTCACACAGCTAGTAAGTTTCTGAGGCTGGATTTGAACTCAGGTCTTCCTGACTCCGGGCCCTACACTCTATGCACTGTACCACCTAGGTGCCCTCAGGCTCATCTTCAATACTACCTTATCCATGAAGTTTTCCCTGGACTTCCTTAGCTCTCACCTTTACATTCCTATCCTTTGTACCTTTATTTTTGCTCTTCTACATTCCTTCTACTAGATTATAAAGCTCCACAAGAGCAGGACAAGACTGTCTTGTTTTCCTTGGCATACCCAACATCATCTGGGATAGTGCATTCTATGAGGAAGGAAGGAAGGGAGGAAGGGAGGAAGGGAGGAAGGAAGGAAGGAAGGAAGGAAGGAAGGAAGGAAGGAAGAAGGAAAAGGAAGGAAGGAAGGAAGGAAGGAAGGAAGGAAGGAAGGAAGAGTATTTATTGGGAACACAGCTTGGAGGAAGTAATTAAGGGAGACCAATCCCTAGGGGAGAGAGAAAGAGAGAGAGAGAGAGAGAGAGAGAGAGAGAGAGAGAGAGAGAGAGAGAGAGAGAGAGAGAGATCTAACACTGAGGTATTTTGCTAGATATCTATCTATCTGTATCTAGTTGAGGGCCCAGATAAAAAAAAATATATTTAGAAATACAGATCCCACAAAACAACTTTCCAGAGAAGAGAAGCATTATAGTGGGAAACCAATTATGTAATGAGTCACAGTAGTAGAGAGATTGGGGGACAAATAAGAGTGGTCTAACAACACTTCTCACCACGTTGCTACTTGTTAAGTGTTGAATATATGCATATTGATGGATTGATTGTTTACTTCCATATAATGTAGGAGTATTTCCAGGGTTGGAATGTATGTCCCTATGTTCATGAGCCACTTGAGTCTGTGCAGAGCAGAATTGACTGGTTCCTGGATGGCCATGGGTTACAACATATCCCAAAAATTAGGAAAAGCTGGTCCCCATAGGTAACCAACAATCAATTCAGCAAATGTTTATTCATCACCTATGTGTGTAAAAAAACCAAACCATTGAATAAGTATTTGTTGAGTTGCATTTGCCATCATTAGGCATGTATACCCTCATCATATGCTCTGCTTTGATTCAATTTCACAAACATTTCTTTAAAAGCTGCTATATGCCAGGCACTATGCTAGACAGTGGGCTACAAAGACCAAAAATATCAAAGTCCCTCCTCTTAGGGAATTTACATTCTGTGGGGAAAACAATGCAAACACATCAGTAAATATCAATAGGTTTTAATAAATGCTATCTAGGTAAGTTCACTGAGCATCATTGTTATTGTTCATCCATTGTTCTCAAAGAGGACCAATGACATCATGAGGGTGATGTCTTGACCTGCCTATGAACTGGATTCAAGTGAGGCATTAATTTCTTCTCTCAAGTCCCTCACCTAAGAGTAAGAAGCAAAGCTTTGAGATCATCTTGCTTGATCCCTAGTTATTTGCTAGAAACCCCTGGAGTAGAATCTACACATTGCCCAATATGGAGGGAGGTACTATAAAGTCGGTGGAAAATCTTCCCGAGTAAAGTCTGATACATCCTGGTACCATCTGTACCCATCTGAGGCTCATTGGGCCTCATATTAGCTCCAGGAATGAGTGTGAGACACTCACACCGAGCATCACTGAACACAGCTGCAATGAGAATTACTCTGAAAACATGGTTCTGACAGCTTAGCCCTATGTGAACCCATTTCATCGACATGCCTGTTTTTCACAGATTAAGAGAACTGGAATTTGCCTTTTCACGCATATAAGTAACTTGCTCTTTGGGCACAGAAATAATTTGTGCTGTCTTCTTTCTGCTCCCCTTTTAATTTCACCTCTTGCTCCTAACTGATATCTCTCCTGGCAGACCAAAAGAATAAGGCTTCCTTAAAAGGAGTGGAAGGGGTGGCTGGAAGGACCAGCAGCTGCTGGAGCCATAAGATTCTGAGAGAAGACACCTGAAGCTAAGCAACGCTTTATCTGGGAGAAGGCAGCTCGTGAAAAATTCATTCACAGACTCTGTGCTAGCTGCACGGTCCTCCCATGCATGCATGCGTGCACACATGACACTTGCATACACACACACACAGAGCACACTCTTGGAATGGTAGCTCTGGATTGACAACTCTGAGCTGGAGAGGGGGAGGAGGCTTCTCTGCTGATGAGTAGCACTGAAGAACAGCAGCTCCTGTTTCCTGGGTCTCTGTGGGCAGCATCGAGGGTGAAGGAGGAGGAGGCAGAGGGAAGAAGCAGAGTGTGAGAGGCAGGCGGGCTGCATCGCATCAACAGCCCCTCAGTGGCACTGGCCCATTACCTGCCCACCCTAGACGTGACCCTGACTGTCCAGTATGGCTCTCATAGTTCATCTGAAGACCATCACAGAGCTGAAAGGCAAGGGCGACCGCATCGCCAAAGTGACTTTCCGAGGTATGGACCAGTCCTACTTGCTTTCCGAGAGATGGGTTTGTAGGGGGGTCCCTTCCTCACTTTGAAATATCAGCCGAGCTAAAGGATGTCTGGATGGGCATTTGCAGGACTCAAAAGGGTAACTAGGGATGGGGGTGGAGGGCAGAGGAAAAGTTCTCTGCAGAGCCCTGTGAAATGGGGGTTTGAATTGTATAATGACAACTGCCCCTACCTAGGCTGGCCCTTTGGATTTCTTGGGCAATGAGAGTTCTCCCTGTTTCTATGCCTCTTTGTCTGTGTTGTTCCCTCCCTTATCTTTCTGCCTTTTTTTATCTACCTCTCCTTACATTTGTGACTCTACATTTGCTTATTCCTGAGTTGGGTGAGAATTCATCTGATTTCAGGGGGCTTTGGAGAGGAAAGAAGAATTCTGTTCTCTGGAGAAGGTGGCAGTTGGGAGGAGGGTAGCATAGTCTTCCAGTAGACTAATACTGAATAGAACTGGCCATAGGGAGCAGCTTCTTGTAAGATTCCAGCCCCTTAGGTCCAGAGTCTAGTTTTATAGTTCTGCCCTCATCTCCCTCCCTCCTCCTATTTCCTTACACAGGATTCAGGATCTGATCCCAAATGGTCACAGACCTTCAAGCCATACCCCAGATCACCCCCAAACTGAAGAACCACAAGGAGGCCAGGGGTGAGCCTGTACCTAGGCTCAGAGTTCAGACATAGAGCATCTTGACCAGCCTTCAGATAGGTGGGGCCTATAGCATGGTGCATATGTCTATGTGCTTCTTTTAGCCCTATTTATGATTCTCACCCTTGCTCCCTCTCTGTGTCTCCCTTGGGACACCATTGTCCTCATTCTGACCCCCTCTTCTATCTTTGTTCCATGACAGCTTTTTCTCTTATCTCAGCTTCTCTTGTCTCTGCCCACTGCCTATCCTTTTGCCTTAGGACAGGTCCATGGTGTCCTTTGTCCAAAGGCCAGATGCCATATCCCACCCTCTCCAGACAGTGATCATGGTGGCAGAGGGACAGAGTTGGACTTGGTGTCAGGAAACCCCTGCATTCAAATCCTGTCTCAGATACTTACTTAGCTGTGTGACACAATCTTTGTTTGCCTCCATTTCCTCATCTGTAAAATGGTGATTATAATAGTACCAACCTCACTGGGTTGTTGTGAGGCTCATATGGAATAATATATGTAAAACATCTTGAAAACCCTAAATTGTCATAGAAATGCTAGCTATTATTGTTGTTGTTATTATGATTATTAGGATGTCAGTGGGAAACCACCTCTACTAAGTGGGTATTCGAGCAGGAGAGAAATGTAGGGAGAAAGCGCATGCCCTACTCTGCTTTCAGACAGAAGACTCATACATGACAGGAGTATTTTGAGATTCAGAAATGTTTCCAGAGTCTGCTTTCTGAAGCTGTCCTGCACCAAGGATGAGCAAACACTGAGGATGGAGGAGCTGAGTTTCCTTTCTCCTCCTTTGTAACATATCAGTAGGAACTCCATGGGGATGATAAGCTACTTGGAGGAAGAGATTGCAGAAGAGCTGCTTTACCTCTCCCTGCCCTCCCCAGCCCTTACCCTTCCCAAAGGTCTGGAACTCTTAAGGCCCACCAGCTCCTGGTGACAGCCCTGCTCACTTCATTCGGGGCTCAGGAGAGATGGCTGTTGCTGCTGCTGGTGGGGGGGGGGGTTGGGTTCCTGCATGCCTATAGTTTGCCTCCCCTACCTCTTCCCAGGAATTGGGGGACAGAAGTCATCGGTTGTACTGAGGGTGCAAGCACTCTCTCTGGAGGACAGGCTTCCCTTTCCTGGCACAACTGCACCCAACTGAAGCCAGTGGTTCAAACTAAAGCCATGGCACCCAACCCCCTAAGTGGTTCAAACTTAGCCATGGCACCATGAAAATGAAGTCATGCCAAGTGCTTAGGGAACCTTCTGAGTCCTCCCCTCACTCCTGGTAAGCTCCACCCCAGGCTGGCCCCTCTCTGTTCCGTCCCCTGGTGGGCTCCCCAGGAATGACTTCCTTGTCTTCCCCAGGAGGTCTTCTCCCCTTATCCTTCCTCACATTTGACCCAGGCACTAGGATTCCTAGGTGTGTCTCTGAACAGCAGCTGAGTCATTAGCAAAATGACAATTAGTAAAGAGAAGAGTCAGGGCCGGTAGGATATGAGAAACTAGATGGGTATATTGTTGACCTTCTTGGAACTGTCCGTGGTGTACTTTTCCCGGCAGCACTCTCTGCGTGGTGCTTGCAGAAATGACAAAAAAAAAAATTCCATATTTTTTTTCCATTCTTATCAAACTGAATTCTATACTAAGAGATAACAGTGTTTGGATGTTGCACTATTCTTAGCCCAAATAATAAAAAAAAACCTTACGTTTCTTGTTACATTTCAGATGTAAGGTTTATAAAACTCTATTGAAAACAACCAAAAAAAGATGATGATGCAAGTATTTTTGCCCCCATTTTATAGATGATGAAATTGAGGCTGAAAGGCAGTATGGTGTATACCAGAGGTGTCAAATACATAGCCTACAGGCCTATGCCACTCATAACAGTCCCAAGTGAGGTCTGAACCAGACTAAAATATAATTGGAAAATAAATAACAAAATAAGTAAAAATACAACAAAACAGAGCGTATTAAATGTGGTTTTCTAAGTCAACACGTGGCCCTCAGGGATCCTTTATGTACAGTTTAGCACCCCCATTTCTATTTGAGTTGGACACCACTGGTGTGTTCAGCCTGTCCAGAATCCATAACTTGTACTGTCAAAGTCAGGATTCCAACTCAGACCTCTCCTGATTACAGAATTACACTGTGTCACATGGCTTTTAATTTGGGGATTGTGTTTATGTTTAAATGGTATCACCAAGGTTATGTAAATCAGTTTCATTTTGCAGGCAGATAGTTTAAGGTAAAGTGAGAAAAGGATGATTTGAGTTGCACCTGGAGTCATGAAAGAAGATAAAAGGAATATAAGCCCTTTGAGAGCAAAGACTACTTCATTTTTGTTGTTGTGGCATCAGGCCTAGTACAGTGCCTAAAATAATAACTGTTTAATAAAGGTTGAATTGAACTGATAAGGAGAGGAGAAGAAGGACCGATCTCTGAACCCAGTCCCTTCTCTGCCAGGTCTGACCATTTCCCCATGATGTATTGGCTTTCCCCACACACCCCATCTCCCTGATATCTCTTCCTTAGTCTGGGACCTCGGACTCTCCAAGAGCGGATGAGGGAGACAGCTACAGCTGGTTGCTGAGTTAGCTAATAATAACAATAACAGCAACAACAGCTAGCATTGATACAGTACTTTAAGGTTTGCAAAGCACTTACAAAGATCTCATTTTGTCTTTATAACTACCCTAGTGGGTAGGGGGATATTATTATATAACCCAATTTTGCAGGTGATGAAGCTGAGGAAGACAGAGGTTAAGTAACTTGCCCAGGTTCACACAGCTAGTAAATGTATAAAGCTGGATTTGAACTCAAGTCTTTCTGACTCCAGGTCTAGTGTTCTATCCACTGTTGTTGCCTCCAGCCGAGTCACAGTGGTGAAAAAGAAGTGGAAAACAAAAAAACAAAACCTCAGAAGAGCTGAGGTATATCTCATCAGAGATCCTGGGTGTACAAGACAGCAACTTGCTCCTTTGGGTCACTCACTACATGTAACCACATTCCAGTAGAAGGGAGCAAATCCGTTGCCACATGCCTGTCTGGTTTTACCCAAACCCTTGGAGTCTAGACTAGTCTTAAGTAGGTTTAGGGGTTTCCTGGTCAATTGCTCCCTTTGTGGCAGTAGTAGTGGCCCTCAGCCAAGCCAAACCTGTTTGATGTGTGGCATTGGACCAGCTGGACAGGTGGCCATTGGGGTTCCTTTCAACTCTCAGATTCTGTGTGGATTCTTCTGGGCTGATGCTCCACTGTGGGAGGATCTTCTCTCTTCTGTCACCAGCTGCTCTGTGTTCCAGTGGCTGGCTTCAGTGTGACTTATCTCTTCCTTCAACCAGAAGAGTGGAGGATAGGGACCTCTTATGGCTTTGGGGAACCACATTGGGAGCCACTCAAAGCAATAAAGTTGGCACATTTTCTACCTGCTAATAATGGATGAAGATTTTACAGCTCATTGTTTCCCATGCTTCCCAATCTCTGGGTCTTTGTTCCCTCTGCTCTGAGTTCTTGAAATGCCCATTTCCTCTCTGCCTGCTGAATTCCTACCCATCCTCTAAAGCCTAAGCCCAATGCTACTTCCTTGTGGAAGCCTCCTTTTACCACTCCCTGCTTCAATAATCATATTCCTCCCTCAGACATCCCATAGTATTTTGTATGCAGCCCTGTAATTAACGTATCAGAATGAATGAATGAAATTAATTTAAGGAGGCAGATAGATGGCACAGTGAATAGAGAGCAGGTCCTGGAGTCAGGAAGATTCATTTTCCTGAGTTCAGATCCAGCCTCAGACACTTACTGGCTGTGTGACCCTGGGCAAGTCACTTAACTCTGTTTGCATCAGTTTCCTCATCTGTAAAATAAGCTGAAGAAGGAAATGGCAAACCGCTCCAGTATCTTTGTCAAGAAAACTCCAAATGGGGTCACAAAGAGTGGGATATGACCAAAATGACTAAACAACAAAACCAAAAATTAAATACAAACTAGAGTGGGAAGGAGGGCACTAGTATTGAGGGCATCAGGAACAGTTTCAAATAGAAGAGGTTGCATCCTGAAGAAAGGGAGGGATTCTATGAGGCAGAGATGAGACGGGAGTGCATTCCAGGCATGGGGGATGGCCACTGCAAAGGCATAGAAATGAGAGGTGGAGCATCATGTGTGAGGACCAGAGAGAACACCAGTTTGTCTGTACCAAAGGTTACCAAAGTGCCCTCTGGAGGGGTGCTGGACCGATCCAGAGGGGCAGTAGTAGCCTCAGGTGCAATTGGGGAGGCATTGAATAAAAATAAGGGGGCAGTGGAAGCATAAAGAAAAAAAAGAAGATAAGAAAACG